TCTTAACAATATATTTATAAATATCAACACTCTCCCTCAAGCTTGAACATATAAGTCAAATGCACTAAGCTTGTTACATATATAATTAGTTTCGGGGCTTCGCAAGGATTTTGTAAACATGTCTGCCAATTTATTATTAGAGTTGATAAAGCTTGTGATGATGTCACCTGACTCGATCTTCTCTCTGACAAAGTGGCAGTTTATCTCAATATGTTCGGTCCTCTCACGAAAGACTGGATTTGAAGCAATGTGCAATACAGTTTGATTATCACAAATAAGTGTCATTGTTTTTACTTCTTCAATTTGAAGTTCCTTAAGCAACTATTTTAACCAAATAAGTTCACACGTTGTCATTTCCATGGCCTTATACTCTGCCCCGGCGCTTGATCTTGCAACAACGTTTTGTTACTTACTCTTCCAGGATATAAGGTTTCCTGCAACAAGTACACAATACTCAGAAGTAGATCGTCTATCAATAAGTGACCCTGCCCAATCAGCATCTGAGTATCCAACTATCTGAGTATGTCCTTTATCTTCATACACTAGACCTTTTCCTATAGAACATTTAATGTATCTCAAAATCCGAATAATAGTATCGATGTGTTTCTGATAGGGGGTATTTAAGAACTGGCTTACTACACTAACTGCAAAAGAAATGTCTAGACGAGTGACTGTGAGATAATTCAACTTTCCAACTAATCCCTTATACCTTCCTGAATCACATAGAGGCTCCCCTTGATTGGGTAGTAGTTTGACACTTGGATCCATAGGAGTATTAGTTGGTTTAACATTCAACAAACCTATTTTTTCCAAAATATTCATAGCATATTTTCGTTGAGAAATCACCAAACTATCTTTAGATTGGGCTACCTCAATACCCAATAAATAACGGAGTTTACCAAGATCTTTTGTCTGAAATTGATTCGAGAGATGTTATTTTAACTGGAGTATTCCCTATTGATCACTACCAGTTATGACAATATCATCTACATACACAATAAGATAAATACACCCTTAGGTTGAGTGACAATAGTAAACCGAATGGTCAGCTTCACTATGAACCATACCAAACTATTATACTACAGCGCTAAATCTGCCAAACCAAGCTCTCGAAGATTGCTTAAGACCATAAAGAGACATATGTAGCCTACACACCATATTTGATGACACCCTCTGAGCAACAAACCCATGTGGTTTCTCCATATATACTTCCTCTTCAAGATCCCCATGTAAAAAAACATTTTTAATGTCAAGTTGGTGAAGATACCAATGTTGAATGGATGCAATGGCTAGAAGAAGTCTAACTGATGCCATATTGGCTACAGGCGAGAAGGTATCACTATAATCCAACTCAAAAATCTGCGTGTATCCTTTGGCTACCAAACGAGCTTTAAATCGATCAATCTTACCATCAAGACTAACCTTCGTTGTATAAAGCCAATGACAAACTACTAAAGATTTTCAAGGGGGTAGAGGAACTACTTCCCAGGTACCACTGCTTTGAAGAGCACACATTTCATCGATCATTGCTTGCCTCCATTCAAGGTGAGATAATGTTTCACCTGGATTTTTAGGAATAGAAATAGAAGACAAACAAGACAAACAAGTATACTGCAAAGGAGAAAGACGATGATAACATAAATCAATATAATGTGGAGAAGAATTTTGTGTTTGACGTATACCTTTTCGAAGGGCAATCGGAAGATCAGACTCAGGTGGCAGGATTGGATCTGGTGATGGCGAGAGCGTCGGAGGAGAGTCTGCAATGACCTTAGGGACAGGTACGACCTTAGGAACAGATACAACCTCAGGAACAGGTACGACAACATTGGTTGACGACGCTGATATGTTTGAAGTGGGCGAAAAGTATGGGTGTCAACTGTAGGCCTATCTAGTGGGCTAGGCTAGCTAGAATGATGGGGGACAATGGTAGATGGGACTTTCGAAAGAGGTGTGGGAATACTTTCCTGAAAGGGTTTCGGAGTTGCTTGGGTGGCTCGAAATATGGAACAGACTCGAAGAAGGTTACATTGGTCGATATGAGGTACCATTATAAAGTATATGAATAACAATGATAACCTTTTTGGGATCGATGATAACCAAGAGAGACACATTTTAGTGATCGAGCTGATAATTTATTAAGATAGGGGAGAGATTGTGTACAAAACATATGGATCCGAAGATTCGGGGAGGAATTGGGTGAAGTGGGGAATTGGGAAAAAAGGATTGAATGAGGGATTTTATTGTTAAGGACAGATGAGGGCATAGGATTTATAAGGTAACGTGTCGTTAGCACAACATCCCTCCAAAACCGAAGTGGTACATTGCTATGGATAAGTAGGGTTCAAGTGGTTTCTACGAGATGCTGATTTTTGCGTTCAGCTACACCGTTTTATTGAGGTGTGTAAGGGCAAGATGTTTGATGGAGAATACCATTGCGCGACATAAAAGTTTGAAATTTTTGGGATAAATATTCACGGGCATTGTCACTTCTTAAGGTACGGATAGACACACTGAATTGAGTTCTTATTTCTCGATAAAATTGTTCAAAAATAGAAAATAATTCAGATATATTCTTCATTAAAATAACCACGTGCAACGTAAAACATCATCAATAAAGGTGACAAAATACCTAGACTCAAGAGTAGAGACAATACGCGAGGGACCCCAAATATCGGTGTGAACTAAAGCAAAAGGGGACGAAACTCGCTTGTTGACTCGATTCGAAGTGTGTTTCCCTAACTGGCATGAGTCACAATGTAAATTAGATACCTTCGATAAATTTGGCACCAACTTATGTAATTTGGAAAGACTGGAATGGCCTAACTGAGCATGGATAATGAGTGGAGAATTTTTGGCTGAGCATGTTTGAGATGACAATGAGAGGTAATAAAGGCCTTGAGATTCATATCCAACGCCAATCGTCTGTCCCAAACTCCAATCCTACAGGGTAACATTATTGTTAGTGAAGACAGAAGTAAAAGAGAGAGAAGGTAGAATTTGAACAGTACCAATCCCTTCGGATCGAGTTTGAGAACCATTGGCAGAAGTTATATTAGGTAAGAAATCAGAGGTAGAGAGGGAAGAGAAAAGATTTTTATTACCAGCAACATGATCATACGCACCAGAATCAAGGACCCAAGGTCAAAGAGGAGATGATTGAGAGAGGAAAACAGATAAATTACCAGTGTGTGCTACCGTAACAATAGAATTTGAGTTCTGATAATTTTGATACCACCTGAGAAAATCATTGTAGTTTGGCATAAAGTTCTAAGGAGTAGCCATGAGTATCTGAAGAGAGAAAATATCACGCGATCGGTCATCGGACGTGCTGTCACATGCGGTTCAGGTGGCGGTGCGTGATGCCCACGCGTGGAGTCAGAGGCGGCGTGTGTGGGCGAGTGCAGAGGTTTCTGCCGGTGAAAAAGTTTGCCGAAAGGTCGTCAGGAATAGTAGCGGCGGCGGTGGATGGAGGCGGCTATAAGATTATGATCGGAGAATATTGAAAACTGATGGTGGGCTCGACTTTTCGAAACGTCGCTGTAAGTTTTGCCGGAACAATAACAGCAACAGTGGCGGCAGGTGGTCACCGAAGAATTTTGAAAAGTGAGAGGCAAACCAGAGTGACAACACGTTTTGCAAAATAAATAAATAAATAAATTTCTCACCGGAAGATAGTGGGTCAACCGGGTAAAGCACGGCAGAGAAAGAATTGCCTCTTAGCAGGCTTTGATTCCATGATAGAATTAGAGTTTGGCCTAACTCAACCCTACAAAACCGGTTGGTAGAGAGATGATTGTCCCCACTTATAAACACATGTTCATGTCATATATTGTCTGATGTGGGACTCTTAGCACCTACTTTTTAGATAGTCATGGACATGATTTCGCACATGCAGTTATGGACTATGTAAGTGTCGTTGTCCATGTTTCCCCTTAGGGCGAGCTCCCCTACTACATGAGAGTGACGCATTATGTGGCAGCGTTTGGTGAGACAAGGCATATGTCGCCCTATATCCCGACAAATATATCACTACTAGGGGTGGAAATAAGCTAGACCGAGCTAGAGTTTGTCAAGCCTAAGTCTGACCTGCCAAAAACACTGAAGCCTATAGCCTGTCATAGGCTTATTTTTATGTCTGAGTCTGACATTTTTTAAGGTCTGGTTAGCCTGTTAGCCTACATAAAAGCTTGTTATTTTAAATGCACTAACAAATTAAAAAACCAATGAGACTAAAAGTTTGTTTACATTGACTTATTTAACTTACATATTAGCATATGTTTTGTGAGATTATTTGTTTAAGATAACTTATGAAAATAACTTATAACATTATTCATAAGGTGTTTTTATCTTATTTTCATAAGTTCTCTAAGATAACTAATTTTTATTTATGTATTTTAATTCAAAGTACAAAACATAACATAATGATAATAAATTGGTGGGTCTATTAGGCTTAAAAAGTTTTTTTTCATGGTTCTGTGACCTAATTTTTTTAACTAAATAGGCTTATAGAAAAGTCTAAGTCTTTTCTATTTTTAAAAAAAAATTTGACCTAGCCCGAATCTGTGTAGGCTACATTCGTAAGCCTATGTTGTTGATCTGTCCTATTTCCACCCCTAATCACTACAAATATAAATTTCTCATAATAAAAAAATATTTTATTTTAAATTCCACTTATAAATTAAATTTTAAAAAGAATTATGCATAACTGAACAAAGATTAAAATTTAAAAAGAATTATGCATAACTGAACCAAGATAAATGGGATAGCCGTAAATGGCACAGATCAAAATCTATTGGGTACGCCTATGATAGCATAGGGTTGAAGGGTGAGGACACCTGTGATACTCAATATAAGGGTCAGGTACCCTTTCTCTTTCCCTCTTATGTCTTTTCTTCTTCCTGTGTTATATAGAAGCATCTTTACTCTAACAAACTCACCCTAAAATGACCTAACAAAAATTCCAAATTTTATCTTTGGGCAAATAGCAGAATCCAGTTATGGGAGACGGTATCGCTGTTCAGAGCACAAGCAATTCGATTAAGGGTAATAAGGATAAGAAAAAGAAGAAGAAGAATAAGAATAGAGGTGGAAGCAAGAAGAAGATGACCCACGAACAAGTTTTGGCTTTTAAGTCTGTCACTGAATGGGTTTTCTTGGCGCACCCTTCTTCTTCTTTGGCTTTGGCTCCTTCCTCTCTTGTCGATGATTTTGGGGTACAGAAGCCTCTAGGGAAAAACGGTGACAGAGTACTCTTTGAATTGCACTCGCACTCTAAATGTAGTGATGGGTTTTTGTCTCCTTCTAAGGTTGTTGAGAGAGCACACATGAATGGCGTAAGTTTTGTTTTGTTTTGTTTTTTCATTGTTCATAGTAGTATTGCTTTTTGTTTTTGTCTTTTAAAGTTTTTTTTTATTTTTTATTTTCATGTTTTCCTCATATTCTAATTTGAATAAAACAAAAACTGGGCTCAGATTTAAATAGCATGAATTTAGATGACACTCAATGGCTATGTGATTTTGCAAATTATTACCGGTGTCGTTTTAGTGTCGTGTCATGTTTGTGGTGTTGTGGTGTCTGTGTTTCTGGTCCCCGTGCTTTATAGTATCTGATGTTCAAAACATCACACTATGAATCAATGTTTTGTATATTGTTTGAGGATTTCTTGGTATGAAAAACTAGCTGGTTCGTTTTTTGAATTGACACTATTTGCTCATAACAGGTGAAAGTTCTTGCTCTGACAGATCATGACACTATGGCGGGCATCCCTGAGGCCGTAGAATCGGCTCGTAAATATGGCATCAAGATAATCCCAGGTGTTGAAATTAGTACAATATATTCTCCTAGGTAATATTTTAATTCAAGATTCTTGATGTTTGCTATTGGATTGGCGCTTATGTTAACCGATTTACTAAGGAAAAGTGTGAAATTTATAAAACTATGGTTGTGTATGTCAATTGTATTTAACCTCCTTTTTTTTCTCCAATGGTTCTGATGTTTGCGAATCTGTTGGCAGTGGAGAAACAGACACTGAAGGAGAGGAACCTGTTCACATTTTAGCATATTATAGCAGTATTGGACCTTCGAAGTTTAAGAAGCTAGACAAGTTTTTGTCAAACATAAGGGACGGACGTTACCTTCGAGCTAAGAACATGATCTTAAAACTGAACAAGCTAAAAATGGCTCTTAAGTGGGAGCATGTTTGTAGGATTGCTGGCAACGGAGTTGCTCCGGGAAGGCTCCATGTAGCCCGTGCTATGGTTGAAGCAGGTTATGTTGAAAATCTCAAACAAGCCTTTGCCCGATATCTTTTTGACGGTGGACCTGCTTACTCCAAGTAATATTGCATTGCCTTCAGTAATTGATTGCTAGTTACTAGTTGTGTAGTTAAGAAAAATGGTTCAGCATCATATGATATGCCTGTTGTATTTTCAGGGGAAGTGAACCTGATGTGGAGGAAGCGATAAAAATGATTAGCGATACCGGGGGTGTCTCCGTTCTGGCTCATCCATGGGCTTTGAAAAACCCTGTTGCCATTGTCCGGAGGTTAAAAGAAGCAGGCCTTCATGGGATGGAGGTCTACAAAAGCGATGGAAGGCTCGCAGGTACATGAATTTTCTCATTTGTTTAATCGTCAAAACAGTGTTATAGCATAATGTTGTTCATGAATGTTAATTTTTTAAACGCAGCATATAGCGACCTGGCGGATACCTACGGACTTCTGAAAATCGGAGGAGCAGACTATCACGGAAGAGGACACCATGAATCTGAACTGGGAAGTGTGAACCTTCCGGTACTAGTTTTGCATGACTTTCTTAAGGTAGCTAGGCCTATATGGTGCAATGCTATAAGGGAAATATTGGAGTGCTATGCTGAGGAACCTTCTGATACAAACCTAGAAACGATTACAAGGTTTGGTAGAAGTAGGGTTTTTAAGGGAGGTTCAACCTTGAATTGTGGACAAGATTTGATTGATCATTGTTTACCTCTATGGTTGAGTAGCCAAGAGATGGAAAATGAAGAGTTTGAAGCTATCAAGCTGAAGCTTTCCAATGTTTCTTCTTCTACTAGTGAGAGAGGAATTCAGGTTCTTATAGAGACGTAGAAGTTATGTATTCTATTCTCTTACATAATTTTGTTAATTATAAATTATTTGCAGTATTTTTGTTTCCTAATCTTATTGTTAAATCTGCTGGTCAAGTTTAATTGTGCATTGATTTTTTTTTTTGGAAGTATTTCTATGATCATTGAGCCAACATTTCTGATATTATTCTTGTATCTTTTAGAAAATACTGTATATTCAAACTATTGCGTTGAGCCAATATTTAAATATGTATTTGAACTATATAAATATGTTTTTTTTTCTTTTAATATATATATATATATATATATATATATATATATATATATATATATATATATATATATATATATATATATATATATATATATATATATATATATATATATATATATATATATATATATATATATTTGAACCATTTAACTTGTTACCCCACGATAAATTATAACAAATTTGTACTCAATTTAAAAATGAATTATCAAAAATTTTGAATGAACAATTAGAAATTTTGTTCTCACTTACTTAAATTTATCAATGGACAATTTAAAAATTATAAAAGTATATGAAAGTCTCGGATTTAATTTTGGGTGGCAAGTTAATGCTCCATTTTGTGATTAGAAAATCAAAATACATACTTTTTTTTCACTCCCAAATGAATTTTCACTTTCTGGGACTAGATTGATAATTTCATTCCGTGTTGTTCTTAGCATTTTGAATTTCTATCACTTTTATTATGTTGTAAGGTTTTGTTGGTTTCCGTTTTAATTTGGGTCTGATTCAATTGAGTAACAATTACTGTCTCATTTGTATCATTTTAATGGATTATTTTTTTAGAATTTCTTAAAGCACTCAAGATCCTTCTACTACATCATGTGAATTTTTACATCCTTCTACTACATCATGTGAATTTTTACATGTCTCTCAATTTCTGAGATGTATTTTTGGACGCACCTCTTGCACACTCAAATAAGATCATTCTGAGAGACGACGCATATGATGAATTATTTTTAATCTGAAGATGCATCTTTGTAACATTTTAAGAAAAACTTTAATTATTTACTAGTTCAGTAGATATTTCGGAAATTTATTTTCGAAATTATGAACGGCATTTCGAAATTTTTTGTCACCTTTGCTTGTCAGGTATTTCCGAAGATGCATCTTCGAAAATATCTGATATAGAAACCAACTGCATGATCACTCAGTCATTGTCGACATACTTGAGTTTCAACCAAACTCTTTGTTGGTGATTTTAGTGTATCATCAATGTATTTTAGTAGTAATGTGATTTATTGTAGGTCGATGCAATTATGCGTTAAGCTTGGAAACGAGTTAGGGTAGTGCGGAGTGCACGCTTGTCGAGCCAACGTGTAATTAAATGCGAATAATTGAAAAGGGGTTCCAAGGGGCGAAGCCCCTGGTGGGGTGCGGGGCAGCGCCCCGCTGGGGTTCCAAGGGGTGAAGCCCCTGGCGGGGTGCGGGGCAGCGCCCCGTGGGGTTCCAAGAGGCAGAGTGTAACACCCCCTTTCTATACCTCAAAAATAACGAATAATCATTTAGGCATAAATTCAAATTTTCATCAGAGTACATTTATATCACGGCATAAAGGGGGCATATCACATTATACCAAAAATTCAACATGCACAACACCTGCTCAACAGATATGCAACAACGGGGCAACACCCACAAGGAAAAATATTTAGAACATAGGCGGAAACATCTAAATATTTCATAACTTCCAAAACATGTAATCACATACATATACATCATTCGAGTTGATTCACAACATCATCAATATATACAATATTCAACCAACATGTTTCATCAACATTCATCAGCAGATACAAACATAGATGTATCACAAAAGAATCAAAACAATCCCTAGCTACCCGATGCTACATATCAGAGCCGACCGACCAAAAAGGGATGAAGTCACGCTTCACAAAAATACCTCCAGCCAACAAATCTGCAATGCCTCATAGAGCATTATAAAACAGCAGAAGGGTGAGAAACAATATCATAATAATCAATGCATATAATTATATATCTATATACATACATGGGATATACACAATTCGAGTTCTCACCACACCTCATCACAATTCATCATATACATCACAATGCATATTCACACAATCAAGCATATTCATCAAATCATGCTTCTATACATACTCATCATTTTCCACATAAACATCTACCATTATGTTTATTCGCCATACATCCTGCAACGATGATAAATGCAAATCATAGAGGCCAACTCGCTACTCTACGCAAATGTAATACGATACCGACTTAATCGTCCATCAGATTCTCCTAAGAATCAATTCACTCACGCCCCTCACGGGTACACTATAACTCATCAGATTCTCCTAGGAATCACATTGCTCATCAAATTCTCCGAGGAATCACATTGTTCATCAGATTCTCCGAGGAATCACATTGTTCATCAGATTCTCCGAGGAATCACATGGTTCATCTGATTCTCCGAGGAATCACATGGTTCGTCAGATTCTCCGAGGAATCACGTTGTTCATCTGATTCTCCAAGGAATCACATTGTTCATCAGATTCTCCGAGGAATCACATCACTCATCGGACTCTCCTAGGAATCTTATCACTCATCAGATTCTCCGAGGAATCACATCACTCATCGGACTCTCCTAGGAATCCTATCACTCATCAGACTCTCCTAGGAATCAACAGCACAAGAATGTACTTCATGATGCTTCACTTGCAAAATGACTCCATACTCTTCTTGAAATGCATGTTTACAAACATACTCATGCATTCTTCACATTCATCGCATATATTCATTATGCATTCACAATATATACATATCACAATGCATATATACATATTCGTCATTCATTCACAACATGCATTTCTATTTAATTCAAGTAAATGCACCAAATTGCCAAACGGCCACATTCCACACTTCACGAATCACAAACTAGGATTCACGCCATACGGCCACCCACAACACATATAACAACATATAATTAGTCATCTCAGGCAAGGAATGATCGCAACCAAACCACACAAACAATCCACGAATGGAAAACATAAGAAAAGAAAATATGTTGTTGTGTTCGCTAACCTTCGCCTGGCGAAGCCCCTGGCGAACATTCGCTACCCGTTCGCCTGGCGAACTTGCCAGCGAAGACCACTGGGATTTATTCTGGAATTACTCGCTAGCACTCGCTAGCACACTCACCTGGAGAACCTTCGCCACACTCATTCGCCTAGCGAACTTGCCAGCGAAAACAGGGGGTTTGCTTCTGACTTGGTTCGCTGTTGCTCGCTGGGCTTCGCCCGGCGAAGCTTCGCTGCCATTCGCCTGGCGAACCTGCAAACTCAGAACTCCCATGGCTGTCCAAAAGCCCAAACTTCACAAACCGACCGATTCTAAAACCAAACAACCCCAGTAAGTTCAACCCAATAACACCCGACTATACTACTCCATCCATTTCTCGATACTAACCGGTTAAAACAACATTCTACCGATTAAATCCTAATATTGCCCTAAGATGAAAATGAGTAGAAACTCTCCTCAATCCAACATCAAACAACCAAAAGCATACATAATCATACACATTAACATTATAAAAGAGTTTCAAACCCTTACCTGATTAATCGCAAGCTAGGATTTGATCTTGATGTTTTCCAAAGTTTCCTCTTCTTTCTCTCCTTTTTCTCTTCTCCTTCTTCCTTTCTCTTTTCTTTCCTTCCTTTCTTACTATCTTTCTTTCTCTTCTATTTCCTCTTTAATATCTTCCTATTATTTTTCCCAAAACATCTACTAACTCAATATCTCATAAAATATCCCACTTATCATTAAATAGGAAATGTCCAAAATACCCTCCAACTATTTTCTCCGAAAACTCCCAAAATCGGGTAAAATAGAATAATATGTAAACATAACATATTTCCACGAAAATTCCACAACAAAATAATATTCTCCCAATTAAAATCAAAAAGGACTTAACGAAAAAGGGATAATCAAAATCGGGGCGTAACACAGAGCCCCTGGCTGGTTGAACAGTTTCTGAACAGTTGAACCCGTTCGAAAGTTTTCTGAACAGTTGAACCCGTTCGAAATTTTTGAACAGTTGTGTCTTTTCGGTTTCTGTTATTAATCTCTTATATAAGGAGTCATTTGGCCTCAATTTTAACATACAAAAAATAAAACCATACTTTCTCTCTACATTCCTGATCTGTTCTCTATTGCCAGAAGCAGATTGTTCTTCAAGAATTATCCCCACAAAGATTTTGTGAACCCAGGAAAATAATAGGGTCGAAATACTTTGTTCGGAAAGTGTACGAACACGATTCCTCGAAGTTATCCAGGATATCATACTCAAATTTCTTACAAACGAACAAAGTATTTTCTGATAATCATGGCTGGAGGAAGCACCATCAAGGAGATGATTATGAATTTCGGAAAATTGGACAAGTTTCAAGGACAAGACTTCAGGCGTTGGCAGAAGAAGATGCATTTCATGTTGACAACGTTGAAGGTAGCGTACGTCCTGTCTACACCGATTCCAGAACTTCAAGAGGAAGACACGGTTGAAAATCTGAGACGCAGATCAAAGTGGGAGAACGACGACTACATATGCAGAGGGCACATTCTTAACGGTATGTCTGATCTCTTATTTGATATTTATCAAAACATGGAATCTGCAAAGGAATTGTGGGATTGTCTCGAATCCAAGTATATGGCAGAGGACTCATCCAGTAAAGAGTTCCTGGTAAACGATTTCAATAATTACAAAATGGTTGAATCGAGGTCTATCATGGAACAATTCAATGAACTCCTCCGAATCCTTGGACAGTTCACACAACACGGATTGAAGATGGATGAAACAATATTTGTCTCAAGCATCATAGACAAGTTGCCTCTTTCGTGGAAGGATTTCAAACACAATCTGAAGCATGGAAAATACGAATTGTCTTTGATCCAACTTGGAAGTCACTTGCGCATAGAAGAATCTCTAAGAGCACAGGAGGGTGACAAAGGAAAAG